GCAGATTTGGCATAAAGATAAATTATTATTATTATATTTTATATGAGTTACTTGTCATGCTGCTGTCACAAGATACCTGATGAAAGCAACTTCAGTAAAGAAGAAGGGTTTATTTGGGCTCAGGGTTCGAGGATCCAGTCCATCATAGCAGGGGGGCCTGGCAGCATGAGGCGGCTGGTCACATCACAGCCACACTCAGGAAACAGAGGGAGATGGATGCTGGTGCTCAGCTCACTTTCTCCTTTTTAATTCAGTTCAGGACTCCAGGCAACGGAATGGTGCTATCCACACTCAGGGGTTATCCTAATCTAGAACCCCTCACAGGTAGGCTCAGTGGCGTGTCTCCTAGGTGATTCTAGACCCTGACGAGTTGACAGTTGATGTTAACCATCACAATATATGGAAACACTTATTTACTTTAAAAGCTCACTATTTGCTTTCATTTTCAGATGAATTAACAAATCATTTTAGTAGGCCTGAAGTCTGCTGTGGCCCTGGGCACTGTGTCCATCATGATGGGCAAGTCAGCCTAAGATAGAAAGGCATTTTGGAGATCCTTCTTCCACTGTGTCAGTGTGAGTAACTGCTCTCCAGAACTGGTTGGCCCCGCTGGCCCTAGGACATATACTGTCCTACACATTCTAACATTCCCGTCTTCCTGGCTCACAATCTCCCAAGTCCTCTAGTCCAACCCCATCCCTCTACATTTAAAACCTTCATTGATTAAAGCCTTCGTTATCTGTCATTCCACTGGTAAGTTTTCTTCCCTTAGGACCTTATTCTTCAGTAAGTTGGTATTGCATTTCTCACTGAGGCTTTAATGACTAGCTCTCTTCCTCCTCAGCTGCATTTGACAGGGGACTTTAAGAAATTCTGTTAAGATGGATCCTAACTCAAGCCCATGTGTCTGATGGAAGACATTTACTCTAGCACAGGAAATACTTCAAAGTAAAAGGTGGGCTTTGAGGATCGTTTAGATGGCACTGTGTTCAGAGTTGGTGTATGCCTACTGCATCTGTGCATTTGATGGGTTTTAGTAAGATAGCTATGATTAGAAACTTCTAGAAGGTGGAACACAGCCTCTCTCCAACACAAACTTTCCCCAAAGTTCTGTCAGTGAAGTATCATGCCCAGTGGGTTTTGTTTGTTTTGTTTCTTCAGTGTTGGGATTGGCCCTAGGGCTCCACACATGCCAGGCGAGTACTCCACCCCTGAGCAGCGTCCCCAGCCCCCACTTGGGTTTTGATGACATCTCTCTGTCTTCATGGAGCCACATCACCCTCCAGTCCTGATTCTAGGCATCCCTTCAGCTGTGACCAGCAGCTATCTTCATGCCTCTCTCCTCAATGCTCCCCATCGTCTAGATCTTGGCAGGAAGTGACCCCAGAGGCAATTTTATTACAGCTGAGAGAACTGTGCCCCAGAGAAGTGAAATCTCCAGCTAATGTGGCTAAGTCAGTGTCAGAATCCGCCTCAGGTCTCTGGCCTCTCAGTGTGTGGATGTGGGTGGCGTTTAGCTCTTTGAGAACGGAGGTCCCGTTTACTACGGAGAGCAAACTCGACCATGGACATTTCTTGATTTCTGATTTCATTGTCACTAATTGTTACCCAGTCTTTACACTTCACCTTCTCATCTGCAGATGGAAAGGGTCAATACACTAAAACAATACTGAGACGATTGTTCCGCAGAATCTGAGAGCTGTGAGAATTTAGTGAGATCACCCAGGTGAAGCGCTTAGCTCAATCCTGGAACATGGGCCCTGAATAAAGGACTCTGTTACCAGGACCAACACAGCAGTTGCTCCTCCTGAGCTTCCACACTCCTGGTGGTCTGGAGAGTCAGAGCGCTTCCCACACTGCCTGCTGTGCCTCAGGGAGTGGCTGGCTTAGTGGGAGAATCTGGCAGAACAGGTTTTGGGGTTTTTGATTTGTTTTTCAAAGCAGTGGGAAATAAATCAGAGGCCATAACCCAAACCTGGAAGAAGAACATCTCCTTTTGTTGTTGGTGTAAAAGAACCTTCAACTGCAGCTTAAGTTGAAACGAACCACAAGTAACGTGGCCGAATCTCTGGTCCTGGCTCATCCCGACCCCAGGACACACTGTGGCCACCTTGATTGTCAGCTGCAGTGCTGGTTCACATTAGCCAGCACATAGACAAGACAGAACAGGGAAGTGGATGGGGAAAACATTTCATGCAGGAACAAAGACTGTCCCGGCCCTGCTGCAGACTGCCTGGCACTGAATGTCACATCTCCAGGGACTTAGCAGAAAGCAACTGAAGTCTCATTCCTCTTAGCTCCAGCCACAGGGGACATCACTATAAAGATTCCATAATGTATCAGAGAAAGTGAAGGGCTCACACCCAGACTCTGCTCTGCCCGGCCTCTCTATGGCTCACTTCCTCTATACCTTTGGTTGATGTCCTGGAACAACAGCTCCTAAGCTTGATAACTCACTAAGCAGCAGCCAAGAGGGTCTGGTCTCACTCTCTCCACATCTAGAACTTCCAGGGAAGGAACGGGCTTGCCCTGATTGAGTCGGGTTCCTCTCCCAAGTCACCAGTCAGCCACTGTGAACAGTCAATGCCCTGTTTACCAACACCGAAACTTCATCATAGTTCCGTGCATCTGTGAGTAGACAAGCCAGGTGAGGGACAGGGTGACCAGAACAGATCTTAGCAGTTAGGTGGCAGGGAATAAGTTTCACATTCAGCCTTCCGCTGTATCCCAAACCTTCCCAATCCCTTCTCTCTTTACCTGAGTTCTAAGGTGGCTCTGTGCTCACTGCCACTGACCTCCATGCCAAGTAAACCTTAGCCCTAGACAAGCTGAATGAAATGACACAGGCTTGAGACCCACACAGACCTTCAGTTAAATCCTGGGTCTGCCATTAACTAGCTGCGTGACCTTAGCAAAGTGACTTTACCTCTCTGAGACTTGCTTTCCTTATCTATAAAATGAAATGATAATGTACATCCAATGGGGCCGTTCTGAAGATTAAGACAAGTCACCTGTTTAAAATCCATGGCCTATAAGGTACAGGCAGTTATATGAATTTCCTTTTCTTAATTAGGCTGCCTAGAAGTCTTCAAGAGGGTGAGGGAGTGGCTGCAAACAAGAAGTGAAGAGAGAGGCAATGGAATTTTCTGAGAGGCATGTCTGCCTCAGCTGCTTTCAATATCCCGACCGCTCAGCAGCTCTGGGAATGCCGAGCTGCAAGATACAGCCTCTCTTGAGAGACAAACACACTGTCTGCCGGGGAGCAGTGGTGAATGTTTATCCCCTTTAAACACTGTGGAGTGGCCGTGTAGTCCTTGAGCCTTGCTCAGTGGGTGTGAGGTTCAGAAAGTTCAGTCTGTTCACTGGCTCAGTCAGTGCAGTACTTTGACCCTCAAGAACTGCACAGACTTGTGGTTGTGTAGATAAACTCCTTTCAGAACATAGGAATCCAGGCTAGGCGTGGTGGTACTCACCTTAAATCCCAGTGCTCAGGAGGCAAAGGCAGATGTATTTCTGTGAGTTCCACACCAGCCTGGTCTGACATAGTGAGTTCAAGGACAACCAGGGCTACACACGAGACCCTGTTTCAAAAACAAAAACAACAAAATTGGAATGTAATAAGCCATAAACTTTTCCTTTAAACTATGGTTTGTGGAGTTACTATAGCAAGTATATATGCTAAACTTCTACATGCATTATCTGGTTCTTCCTGTGAATTAAGTGCTATTGTGCCCATTTTCCAGATTAGGAAATTGAGGCTCAGAAATGTAAGTTTTCCAGTGACAGCACAGGATGTGAGCATGACTTAGTCTACTCAGGGCCTGCACTCTGAACACCCATGCAGTACTGCCTCTCAGTACCTTGGTTTTGTTACAAGATTTAGAGACAGACAGCAGAAGAAATGAGTTCTGGGAAAACCTGTGTGTACAGTGTCTCATTAAATGCTAACCCCATGTGTCTGTGTGTCCACACAGTGTTGTTGCCAGGGACAGTATACACAGGTACCTAGGTCTCAGGTGAGAGGAAGGAGGAGCTGGGAAAAACCTAGAAATTTCGTACTACTTTAGACCTAACTGGCGCTTTCCAACTTGGTCAACTATGGGCGTTTAGAACGTGTGTATTTGCCTGGGATTACATGTGCATGCATGTGAGATATTTTTCTCAATTCTGGTAAAAGAAAAACATGTTTGGGTGCCGTGAATAACCTCATATGTTAGGAGAATCCTTCATCTGTTAGCCTGTGCGCCAGTCATGGGGACTGCAGTGCCTCAAACCGAACGTCATCGTATTCTGGTTTGCTTCTGTATTTTGCTGTGCTCTACGGTATGCTTCATCCATGTAATTTCCCCCTATCTTGTGCCTAAATGGAAAAGACATACAATGTTGGAGGTAGGGGCTGTAGCTCAGGTGGTAGAGGGTTTACCTAACCTGCACACCTAACCTGCACATAGCTCTGGGTTCAATCCCAGCACCTCATAAACTGGGCATGATGGGACACATCTGTAATCCTAGTTGTTGGGAAGGCAGAACCAGAAGGGATCAGAGGTTCAAGGTCATCCTTAGCTACATAGCAAGTTCAAGGCCAGCCTGAGACAAATGAGTTAGTATCTCCAGAAAAGTTAAAATAAAATTAAAAGCTAAAAAATTAAATATACTCTGCTCTTGATTAAAAGTATAACTAATCAGTTTCTCTAGGGACTAGCTCCCTGAGAGGTTATCTAATCTCAAATGGACAGCCCTAAACCCAGGTGCACATGAACATGACAAAAGGAATTCGGTATATGGTGTGTGTGTGTGTGTGTGTGTGTGTGTGTGGACAAGAAATTGAGAGGGAGTGGGAGGTCGGGAGGGTTTGATGGGGGACTAGGAGGTAGGAAATAATACAAAGATGATACTCATGTCCAAAGTTCTCAGAAATAAAAAAATGTAAAGTAAAAAATAAAAGTATAACTATATTGGCATCTCATGCCTTGCTTTCCTGTTTCCTTTCTGTCTTTCAGCTCCAGGGTTCCTTGAAAAGAAAGCAAGCCATCAGCCCGTCTCCTGCCTGCAGCAAGAGGCCCAATGGCTTTGTCGACAACTTGTTCCTTGATATCAAGAGGATCCGGGTTGGGGAGAACCTTTCTACGGGTCAGGGGGGCCTGCCAGTAAATAATGGACAAAGTCAGATGATGCCAGGGGCCTTGCCCATGAGCCATGCGGCCCTGAGAAAGACTACCACTCTGCCACCCCCTGCACACTCTCCTGGCAACAGTATGTTCACCATGGGCTTAAAGGAGGTGAAGAAGGAGCCAGGGGAGACTGTATCTTGCAGTAAACACATGGAGGGTCAAATGACCCAGGAGAATATTTTCACTAGTAGGTATGGAGATGACCCTGGAGAGCAACTGATGGATCCTGAGCTACAGGAACTGTTCAATGAACTGACCAACATCTCAGTGCCTCCTATGAGCGATCTAGAACTGGAGAACATGATCAATGCCACCATCAAGCAGGATGACCCCTTCGGTATTGACTTGGGTCAGCAAAGCCAGAGGAGCACACCCAGACCCTCCCTGCCTGGAGAGAAGATCGTGATTAAAAGTGAATACTCACCTGGCCTGGCCCAGGGCCCCTCGGGGTCTCCCCAGCTGAGGCCCCCATCAGCTGGCCCTGCATTCTCCCTGGCTAACTCTGCCCTCTCCACTTCATCCCCAGTCCCTACAGTCCCTCAGAGCCAAGCTCAGCCTCAGACAGCATCAGGTTCAAGCCGGGCCCTGCCAAGCTGGCAGGAGGTATCCCATGCCCAGCAGCTCAAGCAGATAGCTGCTAACCGCCTTCAGCATGCCCGGATGCAGCAGCACCAACAGCAGCAGCAGCCGCAGCCGCCGCCTCCCAACTGGTCAGCGTTTCAGTCTTCTGCTGTCCCCTCGCCCGGGCCCTTTGTGCAAGAGAAAATCCCCAGTTCTTCCTTCGGCCAGCAGCCATTTAGCCCACAGGGCTCGCCCATGCCTGGGGGAGCTGGAAGCAGCAGCCAGTCAAAGGCAGTGGCCAACTACATGTACAAGGCCAGCCCTTCGACCCAGGCTGGGCACCTGGATGTGCTCCTGCAGCAAAAGCCTCAGGATCTCAGCCGGAGCTTTATTAATAACCCACATGCAGCCTTGGAGCCCCGGCACGGCGGCACCAAGCCCTTGTTTCACTTTAACTCCGATCAAGCAAGCCAACAGATGCCTTCTGCTCTGCCTTCCCAGAGCAAGCCTTCTCTCCTACACTACACTCAGCAGCCACCACAGCCGCAGCAGCCGCCGCAGCAGCCGCAGCCGCAGCCACCACCATCCCAACCCACCCAACCTGCATCAAGCCAGCCTTTGCTAAGGTCACCCTTGCCTCTTCAGCAAAAGATCCTGCTTCAGAAAATGCAGAATCCACCCATCACAGGCCTGAGCTATCCAGTCACCCAACAGCACCGGCAGGTAAGGGCTGTGGTACTGCACACTCAGAGTTCCCAACGTTGGCTTTGTATGTTTTGGTTACTAGGATTATGCTTGTAGTGAGACACGCTTAAGATGGGAAACAGCAGGGGTCCTGGTAGGTTCCTGTGAGCTTGGTTCTCTTGGGAACCCCGTTTCCTTACAGGGTGTTGTTGTTGTTAGGACCTGATTCTTGCAACTTATGCCTTGGTGACACATCTATTTGTCAATCAGATTCTGATATGCCTGATGTTCATTTATCCACCCAGAAAATCAGACATTAGGTCAGTACCCACTTCCTGAGTGCTGCTGTGTACAAGACACAGTGATTAATGCTGAGTATTGGAATAAGGCCCGAGGCGGTGCTAACAGCACATATCTCTATCTGCCCCAGCCAACTGCCATGTCTCAATCCCAGCCTCTCCTGAAAGATCGTGCAGGGCTTCCTGCATATGATCTGATCATCGGTCCTAAGTCTGCAGGCATCATCCGGAGAGAGGGCCAAGCTTTTTAAACTCTCACTGTAACACTAGGGAGGAAGATAGGAGAGGTCAGAGGTTGGGCGTCTTCCCCAGCACAGGCACAGTAGGAAAGGCTGCCAGAGATATGGTGCCTGAGTTAAGTGGTAAAAAATGAGATTATCATGAACACAGCAAAATAAATAAAACAGAAGTAAATCTGTAATGGTATTATCTCCTTTGGTTTTACATAAAATAGAGTGTGGGTGTATATGGTTTGTATATGGTATATGTGTGTGTGTGGTATGTATGTGGTGTGTATGTATGTGTATGTGTGGTATGTATATGGTGTGTATGTGTTTTGTGTGTGTGTGTATGTGTGTGTAATGTGTATATATGTCTGGTGTGTGTGTGATATATGTGTATATGTGTGTTTTAATTATAGGCTATGTTAATGGACCTGGATAGACTCATATATGTATTTTACAATATATTAATATACATAATAATTTTATAATCCTTTTTTGAAACAGGCAGTTTTAGATCACTTAATAACACATTACAAAACTAATGTGCCTCATTTAAGCTTTCTGCTCTGGGTGCACACGGGTTCACACTCTTTCTTGACACTTGTAGCTGTGCCCCCTAAAGGAACACAACAGATGCTCCATCCACGGAGTGGGGAAAGGTAGCAGTGGTATCTGCTGGGGTATATTTAGAATGACATGATTCCCAACCTAGACTACGGAGGATGTTTAGGATGATTCTGATTATCATGAAAAGTCATAAATAACCAAGATATTACTGTTTTACTTATTTTTTAATATTTTATTTATTTTATTTTATGTTTGTATATTGCCTGCATGTAGGTAAGTGCACCCGTGTCATGCAATGCCCATGAAAGACAGAAGAAGCTGTCTGATCCCCTGGAACTGGAGTTACGGAAAGCTGTTAGCTGCCATGTGGGTGCTGGGATTCGAACCCTGGTCTTCTGCAAGAACAGTCAGTGTTCTTAACTGCTGAGCCATCTCTCCAGCCCCTACTTATTTTTATTTTACGTGTATGGGTGCTTTGTCTGCGTGTTTGTAAGTGCGCCTGTGCCTGCAAACTTGCAGAGGCCAGAAGAGGGCACTGGCTCCCCTGGAAATGGAGCCACTGATGGTTGTTGGCCACCATGTGGGTGATGTTTGTAAGTGCGCCTGTGCCTGCAAACTTGCGGAGGCCAGAAGAGGGCATTGGCTCCCCTGGAAATGGAGCCACTGATGGTTGTTGGCCACCATGTGGGTGCTGGAAACAGAACCCCAGTCCTCTGCAAGAGCAGCCAGTGCTCTTCACCACTGAGCCAGCTCTAGAGTTCTGCTAGATAGGCCTCTAGGAAGCAAAGCTCCCATGTAACGGGGGCATCTGGCAGATATAAGCTAGGAGATACTTCTAAGGTGTAAACAATGTTGCAGAAACAGATGATAACTTTGTTGCTACTTCTCCTACCCAACACAATGACAGGCTTCCACCAGTTCAGTCTCTCTGACTGTAAAATGGAAATTAGATAGTAAAAAAATGCACTTAACAACTTACTCTACAGCTGGGCTGACTTCTGTCTCTCTAACTTGAAGTGCCTCATTCAACTCATAAAAGGGAATTATGTCCATCTTATAGGTTAGAGAATTAAGGCACAGTCAGGATCAACAGTCATCCCAACTCTTCTAAGGTCAGATAATCAATAGGGAAGCAAGGGCTCTCATCATCTACTTTAGAGCCTGTACTTCCGGATGCTAGAATTGTAACTCACAGGGAGAATTTGCTGGGAGGTGACTGGCCAGAGTAGACCATTGTAAAAGACTGTCAAAAACTATTTTTCTAACATTAAGCCCTAGTAACATAATCTGCATAAAGGATTAAGATCTTTGGGGACAGAGAATTTTTGAGTTCTGTAGCCCTCAGCGCTATTAAGAAAGGAATTTTTAAGTCTGTGTCATCCTTGACCTTCCTGAGAATAAACATTGTGAAGCTAGCCAAAACACACAACAGGATCTATATATCTATGGTGGGTGGCCTACAGCCCTTCTGGGGAGCCTCTGCCACCAGCATCTTTCATCCTAGATCCACTGCAACTGAGTGCCTACTCAACCTTCATCCCCACTCCAGCCACCAGGATCCAATCACAGCTGTGTGTGCCAGTCTCCAAATCAACAGATATCTTCAATGGTATTAATCATTCTTCATATATTCCACTGCATAAGCCAAGAAAGTATTCATCTTTTCAAAAACATCCTTAAGAAGTGGTGGGGCACTAAAGGTCTCTTCTACCCAGCAGCCAGTGGCTTTCCATTTAACATTCATCCCAGCTTTGTAGACTGAACTTATTGTCCCTTCCAGCCCAGTGACTGTAAAATGAGCAGACACCTGGTCTTCTAGCTCAATAATGTCGTTCTCTTGCAAGCCTTTACCTCAGAGGACAGACACATTCTAGGGGTGGTGCTATTGTGTGGTTCGTTGGTATTAATGCAGAATTTCCTCTAAGGTTTTCTCTGGAGCGTAAACCATATTTGGTAAACTGCTACCACCACGGTAGCATCCTATCAGGTGATTTTCAGAAACCATCACTTAGGTAATGCTGCTTCGGGTCAAAACCAACCGAGATCCATAATATGGGAGGCTGTGTTTCAAGGGCTGTGTGCTCTGAGGATATAACAAGTTGATGGCGTTTTGAGAAGGACTTTTCATTTGATGTGTGTGTATCTAAGACATGCCTCATCTAGTCCACTGCTAAGCATTCACAACTCAGAGAGAATGAGTTTAAAGCTGCACCCTAAGTGAGAGTACTGGTCAAGTGCTGATGAGCTTTTCTTCTGCTTGTCACACTCGATGTCAAACCCAGGAGTCTTTACTATGGGACTGGCTAATTGGAGCCCTTTAGCTTTGGACAGGGCAGAAGTCTCAGTTCTCTGCTACAAGACGGTACGTTAAATTCATTGATGATTTGCTTGTGGTTTGCCCAAATAGATTGATAAGGTGGCCAAATGTCTCATTTGGACCTGTGAACCCCCATGGGAACCTACATGGTCAGGAGGGCTTGAGTTTAGGGTGGTCCTCCTTGATATAAGTGATTCTTGAGGGACTGAACTGTTCACACACCAGCAATGTTTCACGCCTGGGGTGATTTAAAGCAGTCTCTTCTCTTGATTGGGAAGAAAATACTGGTACTGACATTTCACAGGATGTATTCAGTAGATTCTTGTCATATGACTATTTGGGGGCTGGACAAATGGAGATGCCTCCACCTAGACAGAAATTTCTTGCCTTCCTAACTCCAGGGATGTGGGAGAAGACATAGAGACAAGAATGTGCGTTTCTGATTCATAGTCAAGTCACACTGTTATTTTTTGAGACTCAGTCACATATAGCCCAGGCTGGCCTTGAACTTTCTGTGTAGCTAAGGATGACCTTAAACTTCCTGCCTCTACCTCCTGAGTGCTGAAATTATAGATGTGAGCCACCACGTCCTGTTTATGAAGTGCTGGGGATCGAATCCAGGACTTTGTGCATGCTGGACATGCACTCTACAAGCTGAACTACAGCCTCGACCCTCACCGAATACCTCTTAAAAGTGTGAGTTATTAGCAATTAGGGCTCAAAAGGCTTTTGTCCAAAAGATCTTACCTCTCGAACCAAAAAAGTGATCTTTCTCAGAGACATATGGCCAAGTCGCTTGAAAGTGCGAATATTTTTGTCCTAACGTTGTATCTATGCAACTTAAATGGATTCTGTTCTTGATTTAGAATTTCCCATGTCTGAAACCTCTAGGAGGGAATGCAGCCAGTGAATGGATGGTTGTTGTGACTGCACCATAAAGTTACACATTCCCCCTTTCAGTCGAAAGCCAAGTTCCTTAATCGAGTCTTAAAAACCTCACCCTAGCTCTCTCTAGCAGTCTAAGCATATCCTGTATCTCCACACTCCACATCAACCTTTGGTGTCAGTGAAGAGAACGGCCTGCCTGCTTCACCACCCTACAGCTACTTTGCACACACCTTAAACATGAATACCCAGCAAGCTGTTTTTAAGATGTGCTGAGTTTTTGGTGGAAGAATCGTTTAGGTCTCATCTAGGAACAGTACCTCTAAGGGTTGTTGACCAGTGAAAGCACAGGCGTAGAAACTTTGCATCAGACAAAACTCTTCTAAAGGGAAAAAGTCATCTTGAATTCAAAGTTTTAATATAGCATCCAAGCCCCACCTCTGCTGAAAGTTGAGGGCTCATCCAACTGGGCCAGTGCCGAGGCTCGGGTTTAGAGATGAGACCCAGGGCAAGGGGAAGCCAGAAACATGAGAGCCAAGGTCACGAAGAAGCTAGAAAGCAGTCTGTAAATCAAAGGAGAATGAGGAGCCCGTGTCAAAGGTAGTACAAGGGGCCTAAAGTCTGGGAAGACAGGAGAGAGGCCGGAAGGAGGCGAGGTGGTTGTGGCCAAGGGTGCTCAGCCATTGGCTTCCATCACAACCTTTCTTGGCTGCATCCTCACAAGGAAAAAGTTGGTACAAGCAAATT